CGCGACGAAGACGGAGGAGGATTAGAAGCATCAGCTCGCGACCACCTCGATTTGCCGAAATTGGTCAAAGCTCTGCTGTGGTTCTTGAAATCGAACGGCAACAGAATCCCCGCCAAGCAGAACTCGCTCGTCGCGCTCAAGGAATTTTTGGTTTCTTCGTCTTTCCTAAGATCTCCAAATCCTATTTGTATTCCTGAGATCTCCAATTTCCCTCGTCATAACCAAGCTCTCCCTAACTCTGATCTTCCAGCTCCTACAGACCTCAACCTCGAAATCCAACGACTGCTTCAAATCATCCGTAAACGAAGCCGGCACCGTCTCGTTCCTCCTAGAGATGATAATCTCCTCCTCGAAAGAACACAGCGTGAGCGAGAAGGCATTGGGGATTCTAAACTAGCTCTGCGACGATTCCAAGGGCAGAGCCGCTGTGTCGGGGAACTCCTTGTCGGTGGCCCTACTGGTGAAAAAGATCCCGAGGATATCGACGGCGACAACGAAGTTTTCCATCTCGGTGATTTGGAAGCTCGGGAGGTGCGACTAGAGGGCGCTTGTGGAAGGGCTTCAGGTCGGGGGAGTTTGAGAAGTTGGTATTGATTCTGCAGCACGGGTGCATGGAAGAGGCAAAGAAGAAGGCGATGGCGGTTCTGAAGATGATGAATACTTTCGGAATGACAATGCGGGCTTCAGGTCGGGGAGCTTCAATTTGTAAGTTGTCACTTAGCTAGCTATGTATTATTGCTTGCAACTGGGAGTGATGGAGAGAGAGGTAGGGGGAAGAGCTAGAAATGACGACGAGAGTTGGGTTGGGATGATTCAAGGAAAAAATCCCTACATACACTAGTAATTAAATAAAATTCCCAAAATACGTTCGTTATAATTTTTTCTTCCAAAGTACACATGTTTGACATTCACCGCTTTGTCTAAGGTAGTGAATGCAATCCCCGTCGAGAAGAAAGGCGTTGATAGATTCACCGCGTATAACAAAAACGGTGAAGCAATCACCACCGCTAAGTAAAACGGTGAAGGCGCGGGGAACCAATCTCCGCGTTTAACTAAAACGCTGAACCCTTCTCTGTTTTAATTAAAAGCGGTGATTGGTTCCCCGCATCGAACGACCACGGTGAATGCGACGCGGCTCGCTGTCCAAAGAAAGGCGATGAACTCCCTGTTGTCTATGTCAGCAATCCGCGTGTGCGTATGATTCACCGCTGCCGTTGGATGCAGTGAGGCGCGTATTCTGGTTTTTCTCCCAGATCCGATGCCTCACAGCCTCCCACGTCAGCTATCCATGGTTTTCACCGCTTTCGAAAAAGGCGGGGCCTTCACTGCCGCTGACAAACGCGGTGATGGCTCTACATTTATATTTTCAGCAGTCCTCTTCCCCCTATAAATAGAACCCTTCTCGCCTCTTCCAAATCACACCACCACACAAAAATTCTTTCTCCGTCCATTCCTCCACTCTAGTTTCGTTCTAAGTATGCTCTGTGGTGGCGGTTAAGTCCGATCTTCCACATCAGAAAGAATTAGTAGAGTTATACCCTAAAGCCCGTCCCTCTAAAACCCGTCGAACCTCTGTCCGGCTTCCGCCAAAACATGGACGAAGAGGCTCTTCGGTAGGTTCTTGGTTTTCCTTTTGTAATTTATTTTTTTCAATCAAAACAATATGATTTTGGGATTTTTTTTAACCAAAACAATCTTATTTCATTACTTTTTTATAGATGGGTGCTGAGATATACGATCCTCGATTGTATATCCATTATGGGCCACGAAATACAAAGTATTTATCCGAGCAAGAAGCACATCGCTCCCGTGCAGTTTGGGCTTTGACATGCCGACCACCACTCCACTCCAAGGACGAGGGCATCCATCGTTGAATGTGGGACAAGTGTCGATCCCGTGGCTCGTTGCTCACATCCAAAATGAGGTTCAAATAGGCTCAGACACTCCGGAAAATCAAGTGGAGCGCTATGCACGCATCTACCTCATTGGTTTAGTCGGTGGATTTCTGTTCCCCGACAAGGCAAACAGTTGGATTCAAGGCATATGGTTGCAATTGCTCACCGGTGACTGGGACACGATCGGGGAAAAGAGTTGGGACCTGTATTTAGTATTGTGTTGGTGCCTCACGGAATGCCACCTCATCTTCGTCGATCTCGTCCGTATCTTCCTCCTCACAGACTGATCTCAAATCTTCTTCACTTCCCTCGTCAGTGGAGGAGAATGGATAGCTCAGCCCAGGATGATCATCGTGACCTGCATCAGCGGCATCGTCTTCTCGCTCGTGCAAAGTACACCCAGATCGAAAGGTGTTCTCAATGTCAGCCCACTCTGGCCCCCAAGCGACATCGTCAGGCTCAACAAATGGGGCAGGCTGAGCATGTTGCGGGTATTCTTCCCATGTCACACCTCTTGCAGAACTACCTTCTCCGTAGTTGCTTAAACTACCACCCAATCCTAAGGATGGCAACAAAACCCGAACCCATGGATACCCACCCGACCCAACTCGGTCAACGCGGGTAAAACCCGCGTTGACGGGTTTTGGGTCGGGTTCGGGTTTAAACCCATTCACTATTCACCGGGCTGGATTGGGTTTGGGTTTAGGTAAACCCGCCCCATGGGTACCCGCCCACACCCATATAATTAATTTTCTCGGTATATTTAATACTCTAAACAACTAATCTTATTTATGTATGTGGAGACATGTCTAATTTTTTCTTTCTAATTGTGTAGAATGAAGTTGATGTTATCGAGTGGAGAGTGAAGAAACTTAATTGACAAGGAGGAAGAAGTTTTCAATTAATCATGTTATTTATGGATAATTTGTGATTTGCTTCAATTTTATTAAGTTTTCTAGATTGGTGTTGAACAATTTGTATAGTTAATTTGTGATTTGCTTGAATTTTCTAGAATGGTGTTTTATATATACATAATTTGTATTGAGAGATTGATATTTGACTTTAATTTTGATAGGAACTTGTTATTGTAAAATTTTTAAGACAAAAACCTGTGGGTACCCATGAACCCGCGGATACCCAGCGGGTTGGGTTAGGTTTGAGTTTTTCAAACCCAGTGGGTTTTACCCTGGGTTTTTTTCACGGATAAACCCATGGGTTTGGGTTTGGGAAAACCCGACCCAACCCGACCCATTGCCATCCCTACCCAATCCGTACCCTCCTGTGTAACCACCTCCTTCGTAGTTGCTTGAACTATCACCCCATTCGTACCTTCCTGCAAAACCATCATCATAAGAATATTGGTGAGAATGAGTTTCACCGACCACCTCGGTCTCAACATACACCTCTGCAAGCTGCATCCCGTTATTGCTGAGGAACTGTAATATCACGGTAACCGCGTCATCATCGTTTATGACAACTTCTTGGTACACAACCCCATCAGCACTCATGTCTGGATACCGGTAAGTAATTTTACCAACTCTCGTCTGTCCGCTCGTACAAACCCTGTCTGCACAAATGTCATAGAGTTCTTGTCACGTGAATCGCGACTCAATTTTCAACATAGTGGATTCACTGTCTTCATAATCAATCACAATGTCAGAGTTTGTCACCATGCCATTCCATTGAATAATAAGCTGAAACTTCTTGAATTTACCCATATATGCAATTTACAATAAGTTACTATTAGCTTAAGTCCAATAAAAATTAACGAAAACCATATTTTATGACTACGAAAATAATATTACACCATCTCATAACTAACATAACATAAATTCAACTAACTAACAGCAACGTAAATTCATAACTAACATAACATATTTGCTAAGAACAGTAATTCATTACATACATATAACTACTAAAACATCATTATATAAACAATACAAAATTAAATCATACTGAAAAATTGCTTTCGTAGGTATGTTGCTGGGATTTTTGCTGAAATTTGACAGAGGAGGGTGGGGGAGAGTGTTTTTCCAACTGCTCGTGGGAGGGGTATATATATGAAAACCAGGGAGCATTCACCGCCTTTGTTGACAGCGGTGAAGGTGATCAATGCGTTGCCCTAAGGCGGTGAACTAGGTGGTTGTGACCTAATTTCCACCTACTAGGGCTGGAAAACGTGGAAAACTATCACTGCCGTAACGTAGTGTTGTGAATAGTTTCCCCACCTTAACCTAGCGCGGTGAAGGCATTCCCCGCTTTGCACTAAGGCGGTGAATTCTTCACTGCTGTAAACAAACATGGGGAAGTTTCACCTTTTTTGTTAAACGCGGTGAATCTTTCACTGCCTTGCTTCTCGGCGGGGATTGCATTCACTGCCTTAGACAAAGGCAGTGAATGTCAAACATGTGTACTTTGGGAATTTTTTTTATAACTAACGTATTTTGTGCATTTTTTTTTAATTACTAGTGGATACATGAATTTTTTCCATGATTCAATTAGATGATTATGTTTTATTTTTTATATTTTAATAATTTTGATAATGAGGTGGAAAAATATTAATTAATTTTATAATTTTAATAGTTTTTAATTGCCACGTCACTAATTTAATGGTCAACTATCAAAGTTGACTGCCACGTAAAAAAAAATTAACGGAGACTAACAGAGAGTGACTAAAGTTTAACTGTTTAACTAATTTAAGTGACTGCGAATGGAAAAAATTAATTTTAGTACCAAACGTGAACTCTATAAGTAATTCTAGTAACTAAACTTGCAATTTACCCAATTATAAATTATTAGTTGTAACTAAGTCTTAAAAAAACGTGAACTTGCTTTACACATTTGGTTGATGAAGTACACAAGTATTAGACGTCCACCGGAAATAGATTGGGAGGTGTCTAAATTGATGTCATCTTATTAATTTAAGAGGAATTTATTATAAATGTATAGTTAACTTGCCTAATTACTAGTTGAAAAATTATATTTGTGTGTTAACTCACAACCCAATCACATTCATTCGCCATCCACACACTTCTTCACATTCATTCGCCATCCACCCAACTCGAAGAAGTGTGTGGATAGATTGCGGTCAAAATTGTACCAACTAGGAAAACCCACCTAACACACATTATTATCATGTAAATCAGCAAAGTCTAATATAATAGATTAGATGGATAATAAGTTAATAACAGTTGCACAAGGCCTCCATATTTTCCAGGCAAAAGACATCCACCGTCAACTTCCATGATAATCTCAAAAGTTGCTTTTCATTCCAAACATCACCTTGATCAATGTAAATTCTCGACGGACAAAGGCAAATTCACAACTTGGAATAGTTGTCCAAAGCACCCGTGTCTTCCTCGCAAACCTCCCTCTTAATCTTCTTCCACTCCAAGGACGCGCGATCAGTGATCCTCAATCTTCTTCAGTCCCTTCATGTCTGTTGTTTCCACCCTATAAACCACACAGAAGAGAATTCATTACAGGAAGATCGTCCAACAGGCAGAAAGCAAGGGAAAAAGGGATCTATGTTTCTACGAACTACAAATATAGAATCTCACGGTCTGCTACAACCTGATACCAGCCAAGCTAAATGACAAACATCCTAGCATCAATTGATCTAGTCAATGAACCTCTTGCACTACTGCATCAATTCAGGAATGTTCCATGATTCTGAGACTCTAAGTCTCTGTATATATCACCCAAATGACAGCTGATTACATAATCTTCCACTTGCTCAAGGAATCAGAACAATCAGGAAAGTTACGCCCTAAACATACCATCATGTACAACATCCCGAGTTTTTGTTTAACTATCGCCTAATCACTAAGGATTAGGGTGATTAGATTCACAACCAAGAGGTCAAACAATTGCAGAGAATAAATAGCACAAAAATCCTTGAAAAATACTTACGTTGTTCCGAAGAAGGCAATCTTTTGAACTTTAGTAACATCACCACCAGACTGATTGTCTTCGATGAAAATTGTCACGCTGGCCAGAATTTATACGATACGATCAAATTGTGGCATGTATAACAACAATGAGGAACCAATTCAAGAAATCAACTATCAACTTACCTACGAACATTCTGAAACTTTACATACTTCAACACTACAGGTTTCCCAGCCTACAGCAAACAAACCAAAGTCAACTCACAATGCAAAACAGACTCTGTGGAAGTGATTGCCAGTTCCTGATGAGATATCCAGATTCTAACAGCAGCAGCACTAGAAACACATGTCTACCTGAATATTTTCTGCAGAAAACTCTACGGTATCACTGGGAGGGAAGTCATTAACATTGCTGCCAGAGAAAAACAAAGCATCAGACAACAGATCCTTTGCCGTGTTCCTACAAACAACAACCAAACTAAAGCGGTTAGGGTCAAAGAATACCTGAACCCCATGTGCTCCCTGTTTGAGTAGAGCTTCACAGTTTTGGGACCTGGAAGACGATTAAAGGGTGTCATATTGTAACATCAGAATCAAATGATAGTATAATCAGAGACCTGCATGGAGATGATAACCGCAAAACCTTGACTAGATGTGAAAAACACAAGTACAAAGAAAGTTCACGAGGATACCCTCTTCTTCAGGCCCTTTGACAGCGAGAGAGTGCAGTTTAACAACTTGAAGGAAAGGTATGTAGACCAACAACTGTTCGTCAGCATCACTCTCAACATTCAAGCCATCATCTTCCCTGTAACCCTATATCAAGAAAAGTACACCATCATGTACAATGAACAAAAGAGGAGGAATAACGAGGTCCTCAATAGAACACTGGAGAAGCATACTTGAGACTCTTATAGCTAAGCTTTCTACAGCACCACCCTAGCATTTTATCTATAGCTACTTGTACGTGAGGAAACACGCCAACAAACGAAACTCGACAGATATTCCAATCGAGCCCCCATCAAAATCAGATTCAGAAGCAGTACACGAAACAGTAACATCTGCACGCCAAGAAATCGTACCTGTTTCAGAGCATTGGCAATAGAGTGGGCGGAGTTTTGGTTGAGGCATTCAACTCCAGACCAGTCGATAAAGTCCACTAGATCAACCTGATTCATTCATTACCCAAAACCCAATTAGCCCTAAAACCATCAAAATCCGCAGATTCTCAATACTTGGGTAGCCACTTTCCCAAGAACCAAACAGAAGCTTCAAATCGACGGAAAAAAAGGGGGAAACAAGGAATACTTACTTGGCTGCGTTGAATTGCACTGGCTGTGGGTGCGGCGGTGGCCGTGGCCGTGGCCGTAGAAGACATCGCTGGGAAATTGGAGTAGGGGCTGGCGTGCGAAGGAGGCGATGAAACTGGTGGGGGAGAAAAGAGATCGAATTGACAGGGAAATTGGAATAATTTTAGGACCAGCAAAATTCTCTGGGTTTCTTATATATAAAAAAGTGCCGTCGTCGGGACTGGACAGTCGCCTTCCCTTCGCCACCGTTGACAAGGAAAATCAGAATCCTGGAAAAACACGGCATTCGCCGTCACCTCTTCCACTTGGGCCCTGTGGCTGAGTTTCTTGGTGACTGTATTTTGATTGTTCCAGGCCCAAGTCCGTTGCAGACTCATCGGTAAGATTGTTGGGCTTTTCGGCTTCAGGCCGAATCCAACTAATCTAGACTATTTTGATTATCCCTGCCACAGGAGCGTTTCACGGAGGGGCTTTTTCCGGAAAGATCAACTTTCACCACCTACAAACGCAGCGTTGAGTTTTTTTTTTTCATAGATATTCCGGAAGGAATAGCAAGATACGAATATCAATATACAAGGCCAAGTCAGGCCAAATCACAAGAGAGAAGAAGAGAACGTTGGTCAACGAGACACTGAACCAGCGATAAGAGGGCTTGGTTTGCCACGATATGGGCGACCCTATTATACCTACGCAGAGCGAAATGAAATGAAACACTTCGGAAAGATGCTCGCAGAACCTGAACTTCCTTCAGAAAGGCACCTCCCAAAACGTGATTCGAGTCCTTCGCCATGACCATTCGGATGAGGACCTGCGAATGACCCCAAAACAAGACATTAGATACTTAATGATTAATACACCACAACATGGCATCTCGCAATGCCATTAGCTCAAGAAGAAAAGGATCGGAAACTTCCGCGTAGAAACGGCCAAACGCGAAATTGACAATATGGTGGTGTGCAAACCCCACGAAGCAAACCGCACCCCCAACAGAAGCCTTGGTGGCACCATCAAAATGAACCAGGGTCGATTGGGCGGGAATAGAAGGAGGAACGGACGCGCGCTCAGGATGTGATGAAGAGGTGTGTCCTCCAATCCGAGAAGGGCTTGAACGATTGCCCTGTGCAATCTCCCATTCCACAACTTGGTTATCAAACTGGCGCAACAGAGTACTCGACAGGAAACAGATCAAGTCATAGGCGGCGGAACAACGTCCTTTCCATATTCTCCAATACAAAAAGACCAGGCGAGCTATTGTGAGTTTGTCTAAACCTGCACTAAAGAAAAGATACCGCCACCCAATAGCAATATGCATAGAGCTCACAATATTAAATAAATGGACAAACCCAGCTAGCTCCCACAACTCTACACCTGGACGACATTGCAAGAAACAATGGTGAATAGTTTCCACAGGTGAGGAGCAAGATGGGCACAATAATAGGTCTGCATCATCAGCATCTAAAATCTCTTTATCCCTTAGAACATCCTTTACTAGGAGGAATCCTTTGATCAATCTCCATAAGAAGAATTTCAACTTAGGGGGAACCGGGATTGACCAAAGAAACAACCAGGCTTTGGCATCAAAGAGAATAGGAATTGTAGATAAATCTTGTATAAATTCTGACACAGCAATTTGATATCCAAATTTGACAGAGTACTCACCGGAGGATTCATAGTGCCATACTAACCTGTCAGGCATCGGCATGGAGGGGAGCCGAATGGAACAAATCAGCTTAACTGTCTCATCATCAAAGAGATCTTTTAGTAGCTCCAGCTTTCATTTACCTGCATAATGATCAATTAAAGAAGACACTTGGGTAGACTGAAGAACAGCCTGGGGAAGCAGCTTGGGTCGACATGGAGGAGAGGTGGGGAGCCATATGTCATTGGTTATGTTAACCAACGTTCCTGAGCCAATGAGCCAGCGCATCCCTTTCAAAAGCAACTCTCGACCTTCTAGTATCCCCTTTCATGCCCACGAAGGCCAAGCTCCCGGAGTAGCCTGCAAGAAGGAAGAATGAGGGAAGTATTTACCCTTATACATAACAGCCACGGTAATATCAGGAAATTGAAGAATACGCCACCCTTGTTTAGCTAGTAATGCTTTGTTGTTGCTGTCCATGTCTCGAAAACCGAGCCCGCCTTGGTGTTTAGGCCGACAGAGCGACCTCCATGACGTCCATTTCATTCCTTCATTGCGATCTTGTTGGGCCCACCAAAATCTCGCTAGATGTCCATTCAATCGCCTACATTGAGTGGACGGTAGACGAAAGCTGAGCATAGCATAGTTGGGAAGAGCTGTAGCAACAGATTTGAGTAAGACTTCCTTAGCTGCTAGAGAGAGCCTTGGATTTCCATTGCTGCAATCTGGTCACCAATTTATCCTCAATGAACTGAAAAGTTTCTTGTTTTGACCTAGCTATTCTCGAAGGAAAGCCAAGATAGCGATCTTGGGGGCCGGCAGCTGAGACTCCAAGAAGAGAAATGATGGCAGCAGCTTCTGACGGCAAGACATTACTACTGAAAGCAACAGAGGACTTCTGGAGGTTTATTTTTTGCCCACTTACCTGTTGATAAGATGTAAATAAACTTAGAAGATTATGACATTCAGGAAATGAAGCACGGAGAAAAAGGTAAGTGTTATATGCAAAAAACAAGTGAGACATCACCCGGGCACCGTCTATGGATGCGAGGACCATGGATAAACTGAGACAGAACCGCCTGAGAGAGGAACAAAGAGAAACCTTCAGTATAGAGGGCAAACAACAAAGGGGATAGAGGGTCACCTTGACGTATTCCACGCTCCAGGTGAAAATAACCGTGAGGGGAGCCATTAATTAGAACTGAAAAGGAAACTGAAGTAACACATTCATGTAACCAGTTCAACCATTGATCACAGAATCCTAAGCTTCGCATAACAACAAATAAAAATTCCCAATCGACCTTATCATAAGCCTTCTCCATGTCTAATTTGAGGGCCATCCATTTCTCACGCCCTTGATTTTTGGTTTTTAAGAAATGCAAGACCTCTTGGCCTAATAGGATATTATCCGAGATTAATCTACCCTTGACAAAACCATTTTGATAAGGGTTTACAATCCGAGGAAGGATCTCACTCAATCTAGTTGTTAGAATCTTTGAGATGATCTTGTATGGAACTTGACATAAACCAATAGGGCACATTTGACGCATAGATTCAGCATTGGAAACTTTCGGGAGCAAGGAAATCCATGTATGATTGCAATAAGGAAGGAGGTGACTAGTATGGAAAAATTCCGGCACAGCGGCAACTACCGAGTCTCCTACTAAATCCCAAAAGGATTGGAAGAAGATACCTGTAAACCTGTCAGAACCGGGAGCTTGGTACCCACCGATGCTGAACACAGCTGCGCGAACGTCTTCCTTCGACACCAGGGCAGTCAAGAAGGCATTCATAGAGTCAGTTACTAGCTGGGGCAGCCCTAGACAATTCAAAAAAGCAACCACTTCCAAACATTCAGAGGTGAAAAGATGCTGAAAATACTGAACAGAAATCAATCCTTTTGTAGGTTCATCAGAATGAGGTTCTTCATTCTCATCCCTCAAGACCAAGATTTGGTTGTGCCTCCGCTTTTGCAATGTAGTAAGGTGAAAGAAGTGAGTGTTGGAATCCCCTTTGTTCAGCCAGAACTCCCGAGATTTTTGCTGCCAATATATCTCTTCCTGTAGATAAGCCTCTGATAGTTCTTGTTCTAGTGTTCCGATTACTTGCCAATCAATTGGATGAGCCGCCCTGAGAGAAGTAATGGAATCCTTGAGTTCTCGAATGGCCCGAGCCGAGTAAGAAGTACCTTTAGCCGCCCACGCAAATAGATGATGGCGAGATGACTTAAGGATGTCATGGAGCTGGAACTGGAAGGTTCCACTGCTTGTTCGATGCCATTCCAACGCCAAAATATCTTGAGCCTCTTTGTTGTCAATCCATCGGCTATCAAAATAAAAGTTGGATTTGGTACGGGCTGCCGCCGGATGAAGCTGCAAAAGGAGCATTCTATGGTCAGAATCGAGTTCCGAAAGATGATAAACCTGCATACCTTCCCAACGAGAGAGGGCAGAAGGAGATGCCAAACATCTATCCAGCCGTTCCTATTGGACCATGTAAAAGGAGGGCCATGGAAGCCAAGGTCCTGCAAGTTATGATGTTGAACAAAATTATGCAATAAAGACAAGGAGTGAGGAGTTGGAGCTCGACCTCCACACTTCTCATCTGAGGTCAGTAGGCAATTGAAATCCCCAATGACAAAAAGGGGTGAACAACAGACGAAAGGAAAAATGAAATTTCATTGAATTGTTCTGATCGACGGCCCTCATTACAATCCAAATGAACAAAGACGAAAGCAAAAGACCCATACACTAAGTGAACACAATCCATAAACATGAAAGCTGGCGACTGAAACTGAATTGTACAGGAGACTTCAGACGACATAGCTATTGCCATACCACCTGAGGTATTGACAGGACTTACTAACTCCCAATCAGAAAAACCTAAACGATTAAGACGCTTCTTGACTTTTTGATCACGACACTTCGTTTCACAAAGGAAAACAATCATAGGATAGTGACTAAACAAGGCAGAGAGTAGGGATCTTCTTGTCAGGGATTTGCCAAAGCCCCGACAGTTTCAAGCCAAAACACTCATATCTTCGACTGGGACCGATCTGGGCATGTTTCCTCCACCTGAGAGATAGTAAACAGAGCATCAGATTTGTCCTGGACACACAGAGCCTTGGGGGCATGGGGGATTTCCCCATCTTCCAGGGGAGCTCGCTTGCGGCCATGGGGGGAAGAACCAGGAATCCCTGAAGCCGGTTCTGGGTATAGCGATAGCCGCTGGAAGTCAGAGGTATTTTGCTCCTCTGCAGATTGGCGAGACCAGAAGAACCGAGCCTTCCTTCGCCTCAAAGTGAGTTTCTTCACCTTTGGTCCCTTGTCGTAAGCAAGAGTCTGCTTCCCGTCGGGAAGAGGCTTCCCTTCAAACTCAGAAACAATTGCGCAGCGGGAACTGGTATGGCCTATGACACCATAACAAAAACAAAACAGGGGGATTTTTTCATAAAGGACAGTAGCTTTGAACGATCCCTTACTACGGGTTTCGTGAGCAGCGGTTACTGATTGGGGAAGAGGCAGTTTGACATCCAGCCCAACGCGTGCTCGAAGATAAACTCCTCCCGTGATTTTGCCAACATGAACAGCAGCTTCTTC